CACTCGAGGTAACTTAATCTATACATATAATAAAATTGTAACCAAGCCGAATCTGTACATTAAATATTTTTTAGAAAATCTCATTGAAATGGACATTATTATTGATACAAAAGCCGAATCTGTAGTTTTTAGAATTTTTGTCTGTCCATCTGTATGTTACCGCATCATGGAAAAACCACTGGAGGGATGTTAATGAAATTTGGTATGATGATAGCTGGTATCCGGGTCAACATAAATAATATCTTAATTTCGTAAACGCCGAAAGTTGTATAATACACATAAACAAACAGACATACTTTCACATAATATATAATAGTGTCCATATATTTTAATTGTAGATAGGTACTACATAGAAAATTCATTTTTCAGTAGAAAATTTGTATGCGTAATTATGTTTGTTACTTCTTCCCGCTATAACGACTGTATGCAAGTAGAATCGTGCCTAAAGATTAGTCTACATATAAATAGGCAAAGAGTTTGTCAACCGATTTTCTTTATATTTTTTAGTTTTTCTTTTTATTATCAGCGTAACATGTTGGAACCAGTTTGTTTTTAAATATAATAATATGTAGGTAAATTCTATTCATACCTATATATTTTCCTGAAATTTTCTAAATTCATATGGTCGAATTTCAACCCCTGAACAGAAACTTAGTTATAAAAAAACCCAGACATTAAAAATATCTATGACATGCAATAATATCATGATACGTGACTGTTAAACTCGTGCAAATCTATACATATAAGTATGTAATAAAATTGAAGGTAAGCCGAATCTGTACATTAAATATTTTTTGGAAAGTCTTATTGAAATAGATATTATTATCGATACAGAGGCCAAATCTATAGTTTTTAGAATTTTTGTTTGTCTGTCTCTCTGACAGACAAACTTCCAGACTCCACTTCCAGACAAAGACTTCCAGACATGTCCTGAGCTGACTGACTGACAATATTGTCCAAAATAATGGACCTAGAGGACTAAAATTAAGACAATATAAATACATTATATACAAAATATAAATAAATTCTATACAAAGATTTAAATAACTTAGAAATAATTTAAATAAAAAATGTATGTATGTCTATAAAGAAAATTAATCATTACTTTTTCACAGACACTTCAACACTTTAAACTTTATTATAAAACTGACAATTCACAAGCGATCCAATTCCATAATCGATATTTAATAGCAACATCAACACTCAATTATCATATTCTTTTCGTAGTTTAATTCCCAACACTCTTATTTTTTTTAATTTCACTGCCAAAATAAAACGCAAAGGTATAAAAATTAAAGTATGTAATTAAATAAAAAACACTTTATACCAACAATAAATAATCAAACATTCGCGATAAAAACACGTTTACGTTACGAATGCCACCTGAAAACTGAAATCGTGTACAGATAACGTGTCGCCTGTTGATAGATTGAGCAACGCAATAAAATTGTATCAATACTACCAACTTTTTGCCTATATTTTGCGACTTTAAGGCGTAAATCTATGAATTTCCAAAAAATTTTTTTTTAGAAATGAGCTTTTAGCAGAAGGCACTGTCCAAAAATGTAGGAGACAGACACAGGGATATAGGTCTATAAGGACGCCACTCAAGAGACTCGAGCTACTTAAACATACATATAATATTTTATTGACGACACGTTTGGCTCAGTGTGTAGTGACCCTACTTGCTGTGCCAGCGGTCGCGGGTTCGAGTCCCGCTGGGGGCATTCATTGTGTGATGAGCACGAATGTTTATACTCCAGTCATGGGTGTTTTTATTTATAATATGTATGTATTTAAAGTTTATATATGTGTAGTGTATCAACTATCTGGTATCCATAACACAAGCCTCGTAGCTTACCATGGAACTAGATGGTGCTGTGTGTTAATGTTCCAACATATTTATTTATTTTATTTATAATAATAACTATTATCCATACTTAATATTATAAATGTGAAAGTTTGTGAGTATGTATGGATGTTTGTAACTCTTTCACGCCAGAACGGCTGAACGAATCTGGATGAAATTTAGCACAGAGATAGATTAGTCTAGAATAACACATAGGTTACTGCTTATCCCGGAAAAATGGTTCCTGTGGGATAGATTTGTTTTTTGGCTTTATTGCTTTATGGCATATATATTTGTTTTATGGCTTTTCTAGCCTGCGAGTCCAACATACAGATTGTATGTGTGCAAGTGGAATGCATAAATGCATTTCCCAAGAGTTAGATATGCCGAATACACAAACACACTAGGAATTTAAAATTAAATATTTAAGTTAGGCCCACGCATTGGCGCACCTTGCACCTTCTGGATACCGGTCGTCCAGTTCGTCCCCCATTAAAGCCGGCGCTATGTACACTCTTGGAGGCACAGGAGAGATAACAATGTAAAATTCCCTACTGCCTGAGTAGGGGCGTACTACTTAGAATTTCCTAATAGAGAAGAGCAATCTTTTGTTTGATCCAAATTTAAAACCCAGAACCTCATGGTCCGCCATGAACAGCATGCCCTTAAACTCGGAACAGTAAGAATTCAAAACATAATTAGCATTACATCTATGTACATACTTCAAATCAAGCAAAGAAAAACAACACTATTACAGTACTTACAAAGCCACTTTTTGCTTTCTCATGGCGGGACATTTTTTTCTTGTTAACATTCAGATGCACCATTCTGTAACAAAAGATAACAAAATAAGTAATATATGTTTATTAACCTCTGCATATTATAACAGTACATTAAATTATTTATTTCCTATAAAATAAGTAATTTATACTTTTTTTGCATCAAAATAAGTCATTCTTCAAACTAAGTTTTCCGTAATTTTATATTGAAAACTAGTGACTTACTAGCATCCCTAGGTAAGTTTTAATTTTTTTGAGCAAAACCTTAATCATTTTTAAAAATTAACGTAGAATAAGATGCTCCTTATAACATCAACTATCTGCCAGTGAAAGTCTCGTCAAAATCGGTACAGCCGTTTCAATGATTAACCGGAACAAACACAGATAGACAGACAAAAATTAAGACAGATAGAAATTGTGCTTTTCTTGCTGAAAAAGCAGTTATTTTGACATTACAAACAGACACTTCTATTTTATTTATCTATATCGATAAATTACTTAAAGAAATATTAAGTAGAGGTGTCTTAATTAAAAAAAATAATAATTTAGTTTATGAATTACAGAGAGACTTAGCTACTGACTACTAACTATTAATACATTACAAGTGTCATAAGATTGTGTTTTCTTGCAAAAGTTAATAATATCATTAGGCATTTAGTTCAGTTAATGTAATATTGACTCTGTTTACATTATTTCTTAATTAAAACACATTTGATATTTTTAATTTAAGTAATTAACGTTAAAAGATTTTAAGCAAAGATAGTATTATTTTAAGTAAAAGTACACATATAGTATTTAAAATTATTGCAATAAAAGTTATGAATAGGTGTAAGTATATTTTGTTATAATACTAAATAAAATTTCACCTAACACCAAATATTCAAAAAATCTAAATTCAGATGAATGTGTTATTCAACTAGTAGGTTCATATATATTTTTTTAAATTGTTACAAATTGCAATGACAATAAAACATGATAAGGGTACTAGTGATAAGTATTGGTAAAATATTTATTTATTTTATTAGCATAGACCCAATAACTAAAGTTTTGCAATAAGACGTTGCATTAATGTAATAATAACGCAATCGACGGCTATGTCCCGCCAAATGCTTCAATCGAGGTCGATCCAAAAACAAAAAGATAGCATAGTCAAGTGACAAGACATCGTCATATCTCATAAAATATACATTGAAGCCATGAAAACAATAGTTAAATATAGAAAGATATGGGCCTGTTATCCTTTAACGGCCTCGCCCGCTTAGTGACGCTAGCTTTTCTATCAGAAAAAATTAAAAACATGAATATATAGTGGCCCCAAAATGATAGGAGTTATAACCTAAACAAACTTTGTTATACTATGGTCTTATCGCGTGATAAGATAAAGTCTAAATAATTTAATGTACTTTACCACTAAATATAAGTAGATTTAACTTCAAACAAGTACAAAAACATCACTTTTTGATAAAAACATGATAGATAACACCACAAACATCGGTTGGTTAACACATAGACTGGGTTACCAGGTGCTCGAAAACATTTTAGCTAAAGATACATCTGTATTTCCCGATTTTTTCAAGCATTACAATGAAACTAAAAGTTTAGTACTATTTGTTAAAGGTAAATGATTAAATAAAAATATACGACTACAACATGATGGAAAAATTGTTGAAAGAAAATATTTTAAATATTTTCTATTTAATGTTATTAATATTATATTTTTATCGTATATGTTAAACCCCACCTCTAATTCAGTGAAATTGTTTTTCATAGAAAATAATCTTATTTTCTGTTATTTACCCTTAATTATCGTAAATAAGTCTTAGAATGGCAGTCATAAGAAGGCAGTAACTAGTGATGTCATACATTCGTTACGTTACTATTCGTGATTCGTCACACCTCGTAGCGATTCAAAGTGATGTTTTTGTGATTTAAGAGGTGTGTCAAACTGACATTAGCGCTAGTTTACGAAGATAGTCTTACATTGTTATATTTATATTGTACTTAATATTATGTACATTTTTAGTTAACAATAATGCTTAAGATTTTCTTTCTATTTCATGAAACATGTTTATGATAATCACTAATACAATATTCAAATAAAATATTGCGCAATTATTTACTCATTACTCGCCTGCTGTACTTTTATACTTTGTGTATTATTATTTCGTTATTTTTGTTTGTTTTATAATATTACTCATATTGATTTAAAAAGCATTGCTACTTACCTCTTTACATTTTATTTAAACGCTATTCTGTTTTCAAAGAAATAGCTTGTTCTAATTTAATTTTGACATTAACATAGAATTGTTTGCTGGTTCTTTAATTTTCAAAAAAATATATTTGTATAAAATTTTAAATTTTTTCGTTATAAAATGGATAACAATCAAGAGCTTAAGAAATGTTTCTGCGCCCGATGTTTCTTGCCTATAGATTCAGAAGATAAAGTTGATGTGGAAGGTCAAAACTTTCATAGGATTTGCAGCATGTGTTGTAAGTAGTTTATCATAAGAAGAATTTTAAAATTATATATTATAGTATATTAAAGACAAGGCTGAGTCTATTTTATAATTATTAATACAATAATTTTATTTGATCAATTAGAGTGCAAATTAAAAAAATAAAATAAAAAAAAAACCTAACCTAACCTAATGTACGAATAAATATAATTTATTCGTTCAGTACCCGTACAAATAGTCACTTCGTAAAGACAATTACTTTTATGCATTTTTGATTTTAAAGGAAATTGAAGGTTTTTCTTGTGTACGATGATTTTTTTTTCATTACTTACTCAAAATTCATCAATCTGGATAAAGCAATCATGGTAATTGGTAATTAGAATCCAAAATGCATTACCTCTACATTAGTAGTGCGTAACTAGCTTATAACTGTTCTACTATTAAATGAATTAGTATGAAGTAGAAATAATTTATAGTCGACCCGAATTGTGAACATAATCTATATTGGTCTGGCAAACTGAGAGGAAAACATGCGCAAGATTGGTCCTGTCGATGGTCCTCAATTGAGTCGTGTTATTGATTTGTACCTATGGGTCCAACTTATCTAATTAAAAATGTCTAGGTATATGCCGAACAATACCAACATCACTAAAAATGTTTTACGGGCATGTGTTTTGCAACGAATGTTTTAAAACGCATGTCATGACAAGATTCAAGGAAGAGAATCCCCGCATTCAATCGAATAGCTGGTGGATGCAGTGGGCGCCAGGTACAAATCCGAATGAAAAAGCGGACAAGACTGATGGTAAAGTACCCAATAATAATATCATAATAGCTGCATTCGGAACTTACGATGAGTTTTTTATGTACTAACTATTTACCCTTCTCTTGGATGCATCTCTAAGTACCTACCTAAAAGTAGCCTATGTGTTATTATGTAGCTTCCAATTAGTAAAAGAATTTTCTGAATCTGATGAGTCGTTTCAGAGATTAATCCTTACATTCTAAGTTTTACCTCTTTATAAAATTAGATAAAAGTGTAGATTGTTTAGTAATAACTACTTATTAAATTGACAGGTGAAAAATCTTCGCAAAGTTCATCGGAACCGACAAAAAAGTTTATTTGCGCACGTTGTTTACAACCTGTTGACGAAAATCATACAGTCACGATTGGTGATCAAAGTTTCCATAGCCAATGTGGACAATGCTGTAAGCGATAAAATATTTTTATTTTACATACATACGTCATATACGGTTGTATACGGTTTTATAATTTATAATTTATTAGAAATGCTAAAATCAAACATACTTGTTTTAGATATTTGCCGTAAAACACCATCAAATAATTTAAAAATATATTGTGGCAAAGTTTTTTGTGAAGAGTGCTTTTATCGACACGTTTTGACCCGTAACAGAGATAACCCATCTGAATTCTTCAAGAATTGCTTTGAGCAGTGGCAAAATAATCCTCAATTCGCTGATAATATGAGAGATTTTATGGCAAGAAACAAGGAATCTTCTCCTTTTATTTTTATGATGCAAGGTCAACAGCCGCCCTTCTGCAGATGTGGAACTGGTCCTCAAGAATGGTTCCAAGCAAATGAACCTAAAAAATGTGAAGTTTTTATATTTTTACAATATGTGTTTTAATAGTTTATAATTCATTTTCGTTGTCAATTGCTGGTTTAAGTTTGGTATTTATATAATTTTACTTTTAGGTGCATAAGACTTGATAAGGAAAAATGTTTACAGCTGCGACTCCCGCCATTACTTCCATCGATAAAGAATGTGATCTGTCTTTTGAAAATCGAACTGATGTATCCATTCCAAATTCAGCAGTCGAAGAATCAGCAAATATAGAACTCGCAGCTGAAAAAATCGAAAAGCTTACGAAATATCTACATGAAATTAATGGAAGTGAGCTAAATTCGACTAAAACTTGGACATTCTTTGATCAAAACCCTTTGCCATCAGATTCATTTTGTGGTTGGATAGATATGCAAGATAAAAATATTACTAAATCGTCTGATTGTCCTAACTGTTTGTGGCAAAGTGGTCCAATATACGTAACCAATGAGTTTTTCCGAAAAGTACTAGACACTGCAAATTAATGTTTTTAATTAAATGTAATGTAATGTGAATTTGGTTTTATTTCATCGATTTTAAAGTTACCTAAAAGTGCACTTTGCGATTTTTCCATTAGAATTATATGGGACCATTTATTAATAAAAAAAAGGTTTTTAAAAACAAGGCTTAGAATTTACCGGCTTCATCGTCATCATGTGTATATGTAATGAAAAGTACTATAAATATATAGTGTAGTAAATCATACTGGCCTAATTTCGGATGTCCTACCATTTGCCATGAAGAAGATCCAATCCCTATATCCCGGCCTCGTCATCAAATCCGATCGATGTCATCCATGATATATATAATTACATATTAATATGTATATACCAAATTCAAACTAGGATACCAACACATTGTTGAAAAATGTTTTGCTTTGAAACGGACAACTTAGTATACAAACATTGCAAGTTAATAAAAAACTTGTAAAAATAGATTCATTTTTTCACAATATGCGAAAATAACAGGAGTTTTTTTTCAAGTTGGTCAATTATTATGTAAGAATTTTGTTATTTTCCCTTTTAGATGGTGTTATTAATCTTCATATTCGACTAAGACTATAAATATTTTTTAAATTATTATCTATGCCTTAACGGACTCGAGTGGACTCAAGCCTCAACAATCAACAGTCAAGTTAAGCTGTCGTTTTGACAACTGGAAAATATCAAACAATTGGATTTTGGGAAGCAGGTGTGGCTTTATAGTTTTAAAATATAGAAGATTTATGAAAGTAGTCAATTTGTTGAAATGGTGACTGCAAATATTGGTTCCTATATTTGATATATGCAGTGCTATACTGTAAACTGTTTACTAAAATCATAATTTTGAAACATCCGTCACCATTGCTGTATTGGGCGTTAACCGTTTGTAGAATCTATTTAAACAACCCAACAATGTACGGAAGAAAAACACCAACAACATATCGATCTACACCTTCAGTGTATTCACATTACACTGCAAAGTAAGTAATTTGTGATTATATTATTAGTTTAACTAAGGTTTTACGTAAACTAATTGCTCATTTCAGGACTGACGCTTAATTTAGAATAAAAACTGAAATTATGAAATATGTTGTTGAAAAATATTCTATTTCTTAAAATATATTTTAATTTTGAATAGATGATGATTGTTTGTAATTATGCAACTTCTAGATCATCTACGAATCTTCGTTCTTCGAAATCTGTCCGATCACTAAGAGTACCATGGTATCAAAAACCTATATTACATGATGCATACGTACTCGATCTTCAAAGGGGATCTTTGCTGACTGCTTGCATATCTTTGGTAAGTTTTAGAATGTATTTAATATAGTAATATACAAATAAATAAAATTTTAAATGTGTATTAGAATAATATTTTGAATATGGGGCTTAAAACATATAAGGAATTAATATGTAGTTTTATATGACCTCAATATTAACTAACAATAGTTCTTTCTAGGTTTTGATATGTGTATATTTATAGATTCTGCAACTTGTATCATCTATTTAGAATATAAAAATGTATGTTATTTCCATAAACTAATCAAGAAGACTCTAAAATTTTGTTCGGTTATAAATAACAATATATTTTTTTTCAGTTTATAGCTCTGTTTACATTCGCACAAAGTATTTTTGATCTGTACTGCCTTGGTATGGCAGCACCAGGCTCGGTTCATTACGGATATTATGTAATAAGCTTCCAGTTTGTGTATGTCGGAAGTGCACCTGGTAAGAAAATTCTAAATATTATAATTGTTTATAATATTATAACTGAAATTTAATTAATATATATAAAACTTTTTCAATCTATCTATTTCTATTTGTAAAATTTTGAACAAAATCTTAAATAATCAGAAGACATATTTTCAAATAAAATTTTAAAAATTAAGTCTCTGATGCTAAACTGCTTAAGAGTTACTTAGCTTATAAATAAAATAAAAAAAATATAACTAAATCCTATCTTAATGTACATGGTCATGATAGTATCATATAAATCAGTATATGAGATGAATAGAACCAGAAAACTTTATAGAACCTATACTAATATTATAAATGGTGTGCCTGCCTCGATGTTGCAGTGGCTAGCATGTAGGGCTGCACACCCGGAGGTCCTGGGTTCAAGTCCGGGGCTTGCCAAGTTTATTGAGTCTCAATGAGATTGGCCGCTGTGACTGGAATCAATCGGCAGGACATTATTTAAAAGTACTTTAAATAAAGTGACCGAGTTTGTTTGTTTGAACACACTAATCTCAATAACTGCTAATCTGATTTGAAAAATTCTTTTTGCATTAGAAAGCCCATTTCTTGATGAAGTACATAATATATTACAGTCTATCTATTCCATACTAACTATTAAAACATACCTAGGGACGAACCCCAGTAAAGTGAGGGTGAGTCACTAGCATTGTATAAGTGTTTTTGCTATTTTTTTTTTGTTATTGCTAATATTTAAAATATTTTTTCTCAATTTGGCCAATTTCCTAACTTTTTTCCATTATTATACCAGAATAATGATACTATACAGAATGAAATTTTGTCATTTTTTTTCAGTTCGGAATGTCCTCATAGTGTTTTCTCTGTTTTCATGGATTGGTTCCATAGCTGTACTAGTAACTAGTATCATATTAATAATTGCTTTAAGAAAGGTTAGTATTGATTTAGAAGAGTAATAGTTCCTCTTGCTGCCTCCATTATGTTGTATTATATAATAATACTAGCGTTTTCCTGCGGCTCCGCCCGCATAGTATATTAATCACCAACATATCATTTACATAACCTAAACCTTCTCTGCATCTTATGGTATGAGTATTATTCCGATCAGTTCAGTAGTTATCACAGTATAACTGAACAAAAAATTGGCTCTCCATTTATTAGTATACATTATTAAATCTATACTAATATTATAAAGAGGTAAAGTTTCTGTTTTTGAGTTTGTGACGTTGTAGGGGGTAATCTCTGGATCTACTGAACCGATTTAGATGAAATTTCTTAAGAAGATAGTTAGAGACCCTGGGAAGGACATAGGATATTTTTTGTCCTGGAAATAATCCCTTAAAGGGCTGAAAATGGTGATGGAAGTTTGTATTGGGAATTAAGCTAGGGACGAACCCGAGCGAAGCAAGGGCGAGTCGCTAGTGTTAATATAAAAATAAACTCAAAATTTCAGCTTACCCGGTTTGGCTAATAAAACCTAATTAGATTATTGACATAATATGTTAATATTATTTTTGGTCTGGATACTTTGCCATTTCAACCCTTGTTTTTATTACTTTTATCCTAACCCCCATACAAACAATTATCCCATACCAGAATGGAACCCATGACCTTTAATTGCAAAACAGACATAACTTGCAACATGACACTTATGGAAAACAGAAATATATCATTGTGCCTAGATTTTAATTTGATTACCATGAATATATCCAGTTATTATATCTAATTTTCCATTTAAATTACATTAAAAAAAAAACTTTTTTTTTGTTATATCATTTTAAAATTGCTAGGCCATTTTCACACTGCAAATTTAATATATTTTTTAATTATATTATCATCTCATCTGTATGTTTGTGCTATCATCCCATAGCTAGTGAAGACTGGTAAAAATAAGGTAGACTTTATAATAAAATGAATTTGATGAGTGGCTTATTAGAAATATTCGTCTAAAATGTGCTTTTTGCTAATGTAGTGTACTTTTTTTTATTATTATTTTTTTATTTTTTATTTTTTTAAATTAAAATCGCTGGTTAGAACCTCTTCTTTAGTCATGGCAGACATTTGGGTTGCTGTGAAAGGAAAATATTAAAAAAAAATATTTGTTTTGCGCTAAAGTGTGAAATGACAGTGCAACCTTTTGTATGGAGCGGTGGCATCATTTTTTCTTTTCTTTAGCTTGTTGAGTAGTTGTATTAATTCAAAAATAACGCCTGATAAAAAGGAATAGCAAACACAACATCTCTGATTCGTTATGGTTTAGGAAGTTGGCTTTGTAGAAAATTTTAAAGTTAAATAGACTTCATATATAGTGTTCTACTAATAATATAAGTTTCATTACTGGCGGAAGTAAAAAAAAATGATGCGAAAAATTTGCATACCCCCTTTATATTTGTTTTCAAGCACGAGTGTGAAACTTTGTGATTACAATAAATAATAAAAATTGACAAAGTGTCATTTGGACTCGCACTAGGGATTAAACTGCTGGAGCGTCGTAGTTGAGTGCGTAAGCGATTCTGCGACGCCCCATTAAGACAAGAATCCAACAGAACCTCCCCCAGTTTCTATTAGATTTTACTGGGTAGGTAACTAGTTTTTCTAGCTAGTGAGTCTTATATAACCACCTGTATGTATACAGGTGGTATGCGTAAATGCATTTCCCAACATTAAAAAATATATACAGTACATAGGACGCGAGTTCAACTCTCATTTTGGTAGATTTTTTATTTGTTGTGTGAAGAATTTGAGTGTGTTATATTTTGAGTTAATCCAGTTTTGCCAGTGAATTTGCATGCTCATTAATTTTTATTGTTTCATCTCATTTATGTGTATTCTAAATTTGTTATTATATGAAATAATTAAATTTCTAAACAAACTTTTTCCTAATTATATGAATAATCCCTTAAACCTAAAGACTTCATAAGGAGACATAGGATCTAGTTTAGACCATGGTCAAAATGTTTGCAAATTATGATGTGTATGATGGTCGTTTGAAATGTCAAACATAATTTAAATAAACATTACTTAAACATCTTTAAAAACAGTTCTCATTATTTATTCATTTATTAAATCTAAATTAGCTTACATAAAATATCCTTTTTTTTTTCAGGAATATGAAAAACGTATAGTCCCATGGCTTTATACCTTTGGAGTTTTCATACTGTTTCGATTGGTGGCCTTTCTTTTTGCATCTATTGTCAATGATATGATATTCACATATAACATACTGATGTGCCTTTGTTGGATTGTGTTTTGTGTCACCGGAGTGTACGGATGGGTTTTGGTATACAGTTTATATCTGGAACTGTCAGATCTGACTAAATTGGAGGACTTGGCGCATTTAAGAGTAAGTATTTTTAACAAGACTTAGTTTTACTTGGGGTATTACTTAGACTAAGAAAATGAGACAGATTTGAATGTATGTTGGACAATAACTAAAGTCATAGCCCAAAGCATACTGTTAATGTCAGTGAGAAATAAATAATGTTTGACGACACGTTTGGCTCAGTTTGTAGTGACCCTACTTGCTGTGCCAGCGGTCGCGGGTTCGAGTCCCGCTGGGAGCATTCATTTATGTAATGACGAATGTTTGTACTCCAGTCATGGGTGTTTATATTTATAATATGTATGTATTTAAAGTTATATATGTGTAGTGTATCTGGTATCCATAACACAAGCCTCTAGCTTATTAGGGAACTAGATGGCGCAGTGTGTTAATGTATGAATGTAAAAAAAAAATGTGTCACTTTAATAATATTTTTAATGTTTTATATATATTTTTTTACTATGTAAACGCGCTAAACTGTTTTATTTATTTAGATTTTTATTAATTATACGGTTGTGGGTACAATGTCAAAAACGGTATTATAAAACCACTAAACTTGTGCGTTCTTGAATATCTATTATATTTTTTATTAAAATAAATGCTACAAATTAGAATAATTACAAAATAAGTAACAAAAAAATATCATCTTATTCGATAATCTATTTATACTTCTTTTCAGATGGGCACAATGGCATCCCTGAATGCCTCTCTCGCTGGGTCCAGACCAACCACTCCTCACTCCACAGTCTCGACTATGCCAGCATCGCAGATATGACCACTTCAGCCTGAAGAAGTGCCTCTCACTGAGGGTCTGGAGACGACTGTGTAATAGTGTTATAGTGCGATTTAAATAGTGTTATGAAATATAGTGAATAGTGTTCTATAGTGTAACTTCTTATTCGATAGTATATATGCCATTATCACAAATAAAACCTGAAGAAATGCCTCTTATTAAGAGTTTGGAGACAACTATGTAAGTAATGTCCTCTCAATGAGACAATCTCATTAAGACTAGCCATCTGTGCAGGAGATATTAAAATGCAGCACGTGTACACACAGACACAAGTGCACTTTCTATTCCTGTCACTCACATACTCTGGTGGAACGACTGCTCGACACGACTGTTGAGAGTTGAAGCGTAGGATCGATGGCTTTACATGCTCTCTGAGGCACGGGGGTGAATCATCGCCAACTTCCAAACAGTAGGAGCTCACTGAGGCTTACTGAACAGAAAGACTTAATAACTAAACTTAGCCCGACCCGGGATTCGAAACCAGGGCCTCCAGATGTGCAGCGGTATATGCTAGCCACTACTCCACCAAGGCAGTTGACTATGTAAGTAATAGTATCAGTTAACTATGTAAGTAATAGTATCAAGTTAGTATAGTAATAGTCCGACATGCATAGATATCAATAGTGTCATTTGGTGGAAACACTAGGTTGTCGATATATGGAACCATTATTTTGGTGGCAACCTCAAATATGATTTTTATAATACATCACTCAAACGTTCTTTTCTTAAGCTGTAACATTATTGCTTTCTAGGTTAAGAAATGTACTAGTATTATACAAAAAAAAATGAGTGCGTGTAATTTTTACATACAGCTGAAGTAAAACTTCTGTGACAGATACCGCTTTTGATAAATATTCATTATTACAAAATTATTAATAATAAAATATATATTTTTATAAATAATAATTATTATTAAAATATAAATATAATATTTTTTTAAATTATTAATAATAAATTGGACTCTTCTGCAACACTCACTTTTCCAATGTATCAACTTACCTCTCAGTCACGTCTAAAGAAGTTTTACTTCAATAACTACTAATTAGAATAAACCTAACACAGTCACTATGCATATATACTATATACATATTATGCCTTTATACAATTAAAACCTTTTTTGCAGTTGCCTCTCTGACTGTTAAAGTAGTGCCTTCTATGTTTTATATTATAGTCTAAAATTAATCTCATTGTGACTTGTGCCTTTATTCAAAGTGTTCAAATGAATGGCCTATTGTCATTACAGTATACATAATTTATACTAAACATATATATGTATATAAATAATATAGTAGGAGATCCCGATCTATGTGTTGGACCCCTCACTCTTTTTCCATACGAAATATATTTTTTAAACCATAAAACATATTAACAAACACGACCCATGAGGGGTTGTCACCAATGCTCCAGGCTATTTTTAATTGATTTTTTTTTTAAACTACAAGAAATCTTTTCCTGTGACAACTTAGTATCAATCGAAAGTTAAAGACTTGTAAAAAATGCCATCATATGTTTGGCGGCCTTTTTCGAATTCACATTACCTGACATCCAGGTATAAACAGGTAAATTGGAGTAGTTATCTGCTTGTATCCAGTTGTATTGTCCAGAACCAACCAAATATCAAAATGTATATATATTGAAATTTAAAGAAATAGGGTTGTTATATCAAAACATCTCCAGACTAGAGGTTTTTTAATTAAAAATAGCATGTGTTTTATGGTTTAAAAATATATTTCGCCTGAAAAATGAGTGAGGGGTCTACCAGATATCGGGATCATAGACTATATATAGACTAATACAATAATTGAAACGTTTTTTCATATATGATTGAGTTTTAGTCAGTAAAGTCACTTTTTTCATTATTTTGATAGAGAATATGAGAAATCCTTTAAAACAAAGTCTCATTGTCATTTATGTCTTTTTATATCTATATAGCATTAATTATAGTGTTAGATTAAGTTAAAACTATGGAGCGTAGAGGTATGGAGCTGTCTCTGTATGAAAAAGTGTCCGTCAAAATGTGTCCAATAAGGGTGGCGCTGCGTTAGAGTGGGATAAATTGGAACGCACGGACACTTTTTCAACTTGTCTCCCATATAAGAGACTCCTCCTCATCTCTACTTTCCATTGTTAAAACGCAGATGATTAAAATTTTACTAAATTTAAATTTGTTGATAAAACAAATGACATTACTTTTATTATATGTATGTCATATTGTGACATTACCGGAGGTAATATCTCAAAAAAGGTCAATGCAAAAGTGGCCTAACTTGATTTTTTAAAGTACTCTATCGGCTTTTTGATTTAATAATTGTTTTTTTTTTTCATTTATTAATCTAAGACAATTTGTTTAATGTCAATTGTTCCATGAGTAATTAAAGTTAGGCCAGTTTTGCACTGACATTATTTTATTATTATAAGATGAATTACTTTTGTTTGTAAAATGAATTTTATTATTTAAAAAAGCCCTTATTTAGTACTTTGTTATCTCCGTCCAATGGTTTTTTTAAAAATATGTTAATGTTTGAATTATTGCGACAAGATCAGATTTTTTACGTATTTTTTTTGTTTACTACTTTATCTGTATACTTGAATTATTTATATATATGGATATTATCTATGGGATCTATAGGATACTTTTTTAACCACTTCAAAAAAGAAGGAGGTTACAAGTTATAATTATTCATTATTTTATTTGGCATCTCTTTTTTCGATGGACTAACATAGTTATAAGTAATATTACACTTATTTTTTTTTACCGCATTTTAATTTTAATATCAAAATAATATTTTTAAGTCTGTGTTCATACTTTGTCAATTACATATTGTTTAATCATTGATATTTTGAATGTTTATGTAACTTTAGCTTTACTTTTATTGTTTATATAAGATAGAAAATATCTTTTACTTATAAACTCGGCCACCTATAAATAAAGAAGACTAATAAAAAGTATTTTAGATATATCTGGTGAAAACTATTGAAGTTATACTTCTTTTGGCATTCGTTTGTTTGGCACATAATGAAATTAGGTGAAAGCGACACGATGAAGTTAGCTGCATTCCTTTTACAAACAGATTGTTGTGACATACGAGATGAAATCTTTAGCTATTTTTGTTCTGTTACGCCAAACAAGTATAACTTCTTACGTGCGCACATAAGTACACACACACACGTTTTTTTTATTAATATATGTACATATATTTTTCTTGAAATATTATCTATATTTACGAAACTAATCCCATTTTTTGTATATTTTAGTGTTAAGAATATGAGCTATCTGCTTTTTGATTCTGTCTCAAATCTGTAGAGCCATTACAGCGTAAAGAAGTCGCACAACTCAGAAATTTGGCATTTATTATATTAGTGGAATTGCTAATATTTTTATACTTTAACGAAGACTTTTTAAAAATAAGATATATTTTGTTAGGAATATTATTTAAATTAACGAATCAGCCACGCTTCGCTCGGGTTCGTCACTAGGTACGTTTTAAGGGTTAGTATGGATATCCCACGGGAACCGTACATTTTTCCGGGATAAAAAGTAGCCTATGTGCTATTCCAGACTAGAATCTATCTCTGTACCTTTCATCCAGATTGGTTCTGGCGTGATTAAGTAGCAAATATTCATCCCAACTTGCACATTTATAATATTTATGGGATTATGCATTGTAAGAATGAAATTTTAATATTAAAATTTGATTGTGTTATTTCTCAAATTGAATCTTTTTTAGACTTAAGACTTTTGGAGTTAGATCGCTTTTGCACTGAAAAACACATACATACATAATGTACTTATATTTTATTATTTTGACGCCATATCATAGTTATGACTTTATATTTTTTTTACGTATATGTAATAATAAAATAATTCCGTATAAAATATTGAGAAAATTTTATATCATATTATTTTTTTATGTTAATTAAGTTTATTCTGTTAAAGTTTAAGGCGTCTAATTGTAATGACTGCGTTTGGGTTTCCCTAGTGGCTGTTTTCGGAAGTAACGATAGCACTTGGCAGTACTATTAACTTATAGTGTACACTTTGTAGTTAAAATTAAAAAAAAATTGTTTTTGTTTACATCAATACTTTGAATGTCAATATTTCGATATATACTTTTATAAGGCAGTGGCAGCGCAGTGGTAACGTGCTCGCTTGGAAAACCGAGTGAAGTGGGTTCAAATTCCGGGTCTCACACGTCTAATATTACCGTTTACTAATATGGTGAAGTAAAACGCATGTTTGATAGAATTTAACTCATTCTCGAAAGACGTTAATCTCCCTCGCACTGAAGATAAGCCCACGCCCAGCAGTGGGAAGTATAAACATTAGTTCCCTAATTTGTCAGTAGGAATATGCTCAAAGCAAATTCTTATATTTTTATCATAAAATGCATTTGTGTGATTATAATATAAAATAAACCGTCCAATTTTGAAATAAATTTTATACATAACTGAACTTGTTGTTTTACTCCTAAAATATTTAGATGTAAAACAAAAAAATTAAAAAATAATAAGTGAAAATAGTACCAAATATTTTTGAGATAGTAAGAGTATGAAAGATTTAACGTGCAGAAGATGATGGTTGACGCCTAATATGGTATCATATTCTATGAAAATTACAGAACTCTTTTTTTATACAGACAAAAGATGGCGTTGACACGCAAAATATTTTTGTAAATACATATTTTGTACTAAAATATTATTACATAGGTAGCAAAATTCATTTTGCTATGTAATAAAACAACAATTTGTAACTCTGGTGAAATAATATAAAGTGTAAATAGCGCCATCTATAATTATACAGCTTAAACTCTTACCAATGGCTGACTTTATACGATTTGTGCTCTCAATTACACGACATTGGCAAAGTAATTCTCTAATTACTTTGCCAACTGACACGTCTAAAAGCCATAAACAAATAAATACCATAAATAATAGAAGTCATGCCTTCTCCATTCAACGTGACATTGGCGAAGAAATCTGCGCTCAACTGTCACGCTTTGAAGCCATTAACAAGAAAATTTAATCAATGTGTCATTATTGTATTACGTAATTATTTTTCTATTGTTATAGGTTACTCTTGTAGACCGATCGTTCATTTATAATTTTAATTCCACAATAAAGTTACCAAATTTCAAAATTACCGCTCAATCTCATTCGTGTCTTCCTCACAAAACGTGACACTGGCAGAATGGATTGCGTCTGTTAACGCAACTATAAGCCATTAAAAAAAAAAAAAAAACAAGAAAATTGAATTGAATTGTAATAAAAGGGATAGCAGGGATAATAGGTTTTATGATAACAAATACGTATTTAAATATATTTTTATTACAACATTATATAGAACATTTATACAGAATAAATACATCCTGTAAGTACCTTGCTTCGTGCTTTGTTTAACATATAAATATTAGAACACGCCTTAAATTATTTTTAGTATATATTTTTACATTTAAATGCCATTTTAATAATTAATTTTAAAAAAAACACCAAAAACTGTACTTCATGGATGTTTGAGTAAAAGACTTAGTATGAGTGTTATTTAGTAAATATTGATATCACAATGAATGCATTTCACTTGAAATTATAATAAAAAATTAAGCAAGGGTTGCCAGATTTACCATGCAATAGTTTTATTTAATTAATATTATTTAAGATATTTTCCTGCAGTAAAAAGTATCCTGTATGTTGACCCATATGATATGATGATAGCTGGTTATCCAGCTATCATCATACCAAATTTCATCAAAATCTGTCCAGTGGTTTTCCCGTGATTCGTTCCCAGACAAACAGACAGACGAAAATTCTAAAAACTATAGATTCGGCTTCTGTCTCAATAATAATCAATATTTCAATGACATTTTTATTATATGTATATAGATTCCTACATCTATACAAATAGATGTATAGATTATATATTTTTGATTAATTATTATTAAAATATATTTTTAACTCCTGACGCAAAAAGAGGGGTGTTATAAGTTTGACGTCGATGTCTGTCTCTCTGTGTGTGTCTGTCTGTGGCATCGTAGCTCTCAAACGGATGGACCGATTTCGATGCGGTTTTTTTAATTTGAAAGCCAGTTTCCTCAGTATGTTTGGTTAATATCGGTCCAGCAGTGTAAGAGTATCAGCTCTTTTCCAAAATGATGTAAGGCATTTTGGCGTATGATAACTCGATTAAGTGCTTCACGCGTGCCTGTGTAATCGTTAAATGACATTTAATTTGCGTAGAGGGTTTTTTAAATTTTTAATTCATAAATATTTTACATACATTTTTCGATTTAAGCATTACGAAATTTTAATTAAAGAATATTTATTAAATATTAATATCAACTCCTCCAGGATAATTTCTAAGAACTTAATTGTGAACTGACACACCGGTGTGCCCGCGATTCTCAACAGATTTGCAATGAATTTCATGCATCGAAATTACGATATTGCAATTGAAATGACATAGTTATCATAAAAAATGTTTTGGTTTTCGAAAAATATACATAAAAAAATGTTATGAGAAAAGTGAGACAAATTTTTTTTACGTGTTTTTTCATTCAAGTTTATAAGCAAACAATACATAATTATAAAAAAAATACATATTTTTACAATTTTCTTCAAAAGCATGTATGTAACCCGTAAATTGAGATTAAACAAAAACACCTCTTGAGTAAATCCAGCGGTACTTAATACCCTCACCTTTAATATATATGTGTACATAAAAAAAAACTAAAAATTTAACTTACATATATAAAAGATCTTAAAATATAGTCTATCAGAGATTATACTTATATAATGACTCGTATGAAACCAAGCAAATTTTATATATAACCTAAAATTAAAATCTTATTTATATTATAAATGTGAAAGTTTAGATGGATGTTTAGTAACCGGAAGCGAAGCGATGATGAGTCGCTTGCAATCAATAAAGTTTGGATGTTTTATTAAAATTCTCAATTCGTAACAAAAAAGTAACTCTTTACTATGTTTTTATTATTATTATTAATATTCATACTAGCAACTCACTCGCTTCGCTCCCCTTCGTCCCAAGCGAAAAACAAAAACAATCTATCCCGCGGGAACTGTACATTTTTCCAGGATAAAAAGTAACCTGTGTGCTGTTCCAGACTATAATCTATCTCTGTTCTGGCGTGATTGAGTAACAAACATCCATCCATGTAAATTTCCGCATTTATTTTTATAATATTTATATAATGGGATGGGATAATAAATAGAAGACCATAAAACTTATCATATATTTATATGAATATATATTTCCCGCGCAAAACCGTCACAGATTAAAAAGCGACATATATATTTGAAAAAAAAAAAAACAAAATTGGCTCACGACATTTTATCAATACACATTATATTATATTTAAAAAAAAAACAAGACATAAACAATTATATACAAATACAGAATTAACTTTCTAAACCGTAGTGTTTGCGTTTGATTCTCGCGTAGGGCCCAATTTCTGGGTCCATAATAAAGTCATATATGACCGAAGACCAGCTGTGATGTTGCGGAAGATCGTCGTAGAATTCTGATGCGATACGTTTTACCTGAAAAAATATATATAATAGTATCTAAAATACAATCTTTACATATCTATTTTAATATTATAAAGACGAAAAAATTGTTTTTTTTTGTTTGTTATTTTGTATCAAATAGGCTCCGAAACTACTGAACCGATTTAGATGAAATTTGGTATGAAGATAGTTTTAGACCTGGGGAAGGATATAAGGATAGTTTTTATCCCGGAATCATCTCTTAAGGAGATGAAAATCGGGGTGAAAGTTTGTAGGGGGAAGCAACATAAGCTAGTAGTAAAATAATAACAGAGCATCTGTACATGAAATGTTTTATAAAAACGTGGGCCTCCCTTGAATGCGAGGGGGATCAGGCCATAGTCCACCACGCTGACCAAGTGCGGGCGGACTGAGCATGTTTCGAAAACTTGCTAGGTTTTTCAGAACTGCAGGTTTCCTCACGATGTTATCCTTCACTGTAAGACAAGTGGTAATCATGTTGGAAATGATTCGCACATGAAAATATCAGAGGTGCGAGACCCGGGATTTGAACCCGCTTCACTCGGTTTCCCAAGCGAGCGCGTTACCACTGGGCTATCACTGCTTTATTGTTTCGTATTATGTAGAGAATATGGCCATAGTTATTGAAATTTTTGACTGTTTGTCTTTATGTCTGTGTGCATTTCAAGGAAAAAGTACTAAATCGATTTTAATTAAAATATATATGTAGGATTTGCGAGATGAGTATGCGTGGAATGATATTTTAAGAATAAAAGAGGAGGTATGATATAATTTTAAGAATGGAACGGAATGAAAGATGAATAAAAGAAAAGCAGGATGTTTTGTCATAATGACGACACGACGAGACGCGTGAACATTGTTTTGTATTATTTTAAATAGAATAAATAGTTAATAGTGTATATATAACTTTAGCGCTGGCTGACAGAGCGGGGATCGCTTTGCGCGTTTTACATTTACCGCCAAATAAAATGCAGTCACGATGCCTTCATCAATCAGAATTTAATAAAGACAGATAATAAATATGTATAATTAACAATTATACACTTGTCATAATATAAATACCAACTCAACCCGCATTTGGCCAGCGTGGTGGACTATGGCCTGATCCCCCTCGTATTGAAGGGAGGCCCACGCCCAGCAGTGGGACGTTAAATAGGGTTGATTACAGTATAAATATTACGATAAATGAAGTCATCGACATTTTTAAAATTATCTACCGAATGAGTGTTGCGCGTACGTGACGACTCGGTGCCATATTACAACATTTAACACGAATTATTGAAGAGGTTTATCTAATCATATAATATTTTAATACGCAATCCTTATTCATTCGTATACGCATCGTAAAAAAAACCCAATTTATTTAATACTAGCGACTAAGCATCGTTTCGCTCGGGTTCGTCCCTAGTTGCGTTTTAACGTTTAGTATAGATTTCTCAGAGATGAGATATTTTCTGGTAGTAAAAAGTATCCTATTATTATATATGTTAATCCGGAGCTATGATCTTAACAAATTTCATTAAAATCTGCCCAGCGGTTTTCTCGTGATGTGTTCCCAAACAGACAAAAATTCTGAAAACTATAGATTCGGACTCTATATCGATAACAATGGCTATTTCAATGAGATTTTCCAAAAAATATTTAATGTACAGATACGACTCAGTTAGAATTTTATTAATGTATAAACTAACGACTTAGCTCGTCTCACGCGGGTCCCTATTCCCTATTGGTAATCCAGCTTATAATCTATGTGCACTAGCCGTTTTACCGAGAAAGAGGAACAAAACATACACTTATGTATATTACACACTTTGCCATCTATATAAGATAACTAAATAAAATTAAAGTGTCTGTTTGTAATGTCAAAATAACATCTTTTTACTAAAGCATATGAAAGTATATACGGTACTTATAAGATGAGCACAATTTAAAAAAAAAATCTAATGCTAATCTCCGAAACGGCTGGACTAAATTTGATGGGACTTTCACTGGCAGATAGCTGTTATAAGGAGTAACTTAGGCTTCTTTTGTTTGGAAAGGGCATTAGGGTTTCAATTTAAAAAAAAAACGTTCATAGGGACGCACCCTAAACCGCTTATTTATAATAATAATAATCCAATAGGTAAGATGGCAATGTTTTTATTAACTTAAAAAGAACTACAAAGTATAAGAGATATATTAGAAGTGTATAATAGAGGAAAACCGCAACGTGAAATAACATAAGTTACGTGGATTCTATGATACCTAAACAAAACAGATTATTATAAACTAGCGATTATAACTAGCTTGTTTCCCAATACAAACTTTTATCCCCATTTTTACCCCCTTAAGGGATGGTTTCCGGGATAAAAAGTATCCTGTGTCCTTCTCAGGGTCTCAAACTATATTTTTACCAAATTTCATCTAAATCGGTTCAGTAGATCCAGAGATCCCTACAAAGTCACAAACTCACAAACTTTACATCTTTATAATATTAGTATAGATGTAGTATATACTCGTATAGTATGAACGTACAGATATTTCAACGGAAATTTCCACTATCTATATCAAGGTAAGTAATCACCGCTCTATTATTATAATGATAACATATTTAGATTGACTGCAATGTAAACTAAAAAGTTTTGCCTATACCAATCATAACTCAGCTTTGTATGTAATCATCATCAGACATCTCCCTGCCCAATTTTAAAGCTTTGTACGTAATACTTTCTTAGATTTACGCGAATATTTGACATTTTAAATAAAACTATCTTTTCGGATTGTTTAAAATGTTAGCTTTGTACGCTTTTTATTTATGTTTTAATAATTTTGTGTAATTTTAATAAAGTGACCTAAATTTAAAACATATATTTTTAAAACTAACGAATCACCCCTCGCTCCGTTCGGGTTCGTCTCTAGGTGATTCTTTAAATTGACAGAACTTTTTTATTTATGAATTTTTTATTTATGATTTAAATAAAACAATACTAAATGTTGTATGTAGCTTACTACAATACATTAGTGGAAACCGGACCCAAATCGGTTAAGCCGTTTCTGAGATTAGCGCGCACCAACGCACAGACAAATAGACGAACAGACAAAAATACTAAAAATTATCGTTTCAAATTCTATTGTGTTAATAAAGACCCCAATAATAGTTTTTCTCCTCCTCTTCTCCATACTGTTCCATGTACAGAGAGCGATCAGTTACATATCTATTATATATGAAGATAATATAATAACACATTTTATTACATAAAGATATATTGAAAATTATAAATAACTTGAATATAAAGAAAATTAAATTTACTTAATTGAATATTAAAAAAAATGAGTTATGCCTCTTTTACACATATAATACTTATCATAACAAAGTTATTAACTGAAAATTAAATAATATTTCGAGTTATGCCTCTTTTACACTGGTTTTAAAAATAAAACTAACCTCAGGTAACCTCCTGCCAGGAACCGCTGGGAAGTCGTGGTGTTCGTTGTGATAACCAACGTTGAAGGTTATCCAGTTTAGGGGTCCGTAATACGAATAGGTTTCGAAACCCTTTCGGAACATATAGTGTTCAGATATGAAATGTCCTGTGAAAAAAAAATGTATTTTAAATCACAATCCCTCGAGTAATTTTCGTAATTATAAAATTATAACGCTGAGAAAATAATTTTAGTTGTAAATTGAGAGGAGCTCTTCTGAATTAAACAACTATAGAAAAGACAAAACAAAATTATATTTTTCAGAACTAATGTCTCAGAATAATTAAAACAATCACGTCGTACGTTCAATAAAATTACTTCTAAAATTATAATATAATGGCATTACAAATATTATAAGGGTTAAGGCGTAACCTACAGATCGTTAATGGACGCAGGTTCGATTTCGCACGTAGAAACATTTGTATTTTTTAATAAATAAAATGGTCCCAAAAATATTCCACCTTTAAAAAGGAATCATTATTTTGAAATCGAACTTCTTTTAATATTTTAAAAGTACGACAATGCATTTGTTTTACATTTACATTCACTGTAGTTAAAATTGTATAGAATATAGATTAAAAAAAACAGCGAAAATTCACTATTTTTTCCTTCTTTTGCCTAAAGTAAATTAAAAAAAAAGAAAAAAGTAAAAATATATAACTGTCAAAATATACCTGCTACGGGATGTATCCCCATTGATAATAAAGAGCCTATCACAAGGTATCCCAGTACCTTCCAACCTGTAGAAATGAAAAAAAAAAATGGATATAGTATACATATTTTATAATAATGATTAATTACAATTTCTATAATACTGTCAAAAGTGGCCTACTGCATATATACACACAAAATTTTATAAGAATCGGTCAAGCCGTTTCGGAGGAGTTTTGTTACAAACACTGTGACACGAGAATTTTATATATTAGATAGATATACATGGAATCTTATTGATAAATAAAGATGGAAGAATACCTTTCAAAAAATGATTTAATATACCAATGTTCATATATCATACATTGTATTTTATGTATTTATTTATTTATTTGAAAGATATGCCAACAATACATTGTACCTACATTCTAAATTATTATATTATAAGAACTATATTTAAACTGCCTCGGTGGTGTAGTGGCTAGCATGTACGGCTGCACACCCGGAGGTCCTGGGTTCGAGTCCCGGGTCGGGCCAAGTTTAGTTATTGAGTCTTCCTGCATAGTAAGTCTCAGTAACAGCCCGGAGTTGGGAAGTTGGCGGTGTTTCACCCCCGTGCCTCGGAGAGCACGTAAAGCCGTCGGTCCTGCGCCTTAACTCTCACCGGTCGTGTCGAGTGGTCGTCCCACCGGAGTATGAGAGTGATAGGAATAGAGAGTGCACTTGTGTCTGCGCGTACACTTGTGCACTATAATATCTCCTGCGCAGTTGGCTAATCTCATTGAGATTGGCCGCCGTGGCCGGAATCGGCTAGGAGAACATCATCATTATAAGATTACTTATTCTAGTACAAGCATTAATTATAGGCATACACATTGTTTGACCATTTTGTTTTGTACTATTAGTTTAGAATTAGGTCAATTTAATTTAATGGCTTCAAAGTGTGCCAGTTTAACACAGATTACTTCGTCAATGTCACGTGGAATGGGGAAGACACGAAAAAAGAATTAGATCGAAAGGCATTGTAACATAAAACTTTTTAATAAGCAAAGTTTACTCCACGATTTTTTCAACAATTCACATGAAACTTAGGAAAATATTTTTAAATCGGATATTATAATACATAAAATGGCATTAATTTTAAAAGGCATTGCCTTTCATAAAGGGAGATTTAATATAAATAACTTTTAATATTTTGACTCTAAAACAATTTATTCAATGTTGCCATTAAAATATTATACAAAACTAAATTAAACTTATCTAAAATTATAAATTGAGCTGAAGCAAAATAAATAAAAACACCAAAAAGACAAGAAAACTTTCTTAGATTTACGCGAATACTTTACATTTAAAAAAAACTACTTACCTTCTGGAAAAAGAGATTCTTTACACAAACTATACATAAATATCCTATATATATTAAAAAGCATTCAAAAAGTCGGAAAATAAAAATCAAAATAAATCCATGAAAAAAAAATCTAAAAATATAGTTTTACTTAAAAACTAAAATTTAACCCCCGAACAAAAAAAAGAACATCAACTCACCAAAAAGCTTGACAACGATGGCATCGAAGATCAATTGTATTATGAGATTTATCGCCTCTAAAGGTGTCGGGGGTTTCGGCCTGACCACTAGCGGTCGTAGAGTATAGAAAAATGGCTGTAAAATTATCCACAGTAGTTTACCCCCTGTTGTACAAAATAATTTCGCCTCCACTAAAGTCGGAAGATCGACATCTATTACTTCATCTCCTTGGTACTAAAAGGAAAAAATAGTTTATAAATAAATATGTTGGGAATTGACACACAGCACCATCTAGTACCATAGTGAGCTACGAGGCTTGTGTTATGGATACCAGATAGTTTATACACTACACATATATAGCTTTAAATACATACATATTATAAATATAAACACCCATAACTGGAGTGCAAACATTCGTGCTTATCACACAATTGAATGTCCCCAGCGGGACTCAAACCTGCGACCGCTGGCGCAGCAAGTAGGATCACTACAAAACTATATTTATAATATGCATGTATTTAAAGTTTATATATGTGTGTTTTTGTTTACGCCTTTACGCTAAAAAGGCTGGTTGGATTTGGATGAAATTTAATACACAGATAGGTTATGGACATGAAGTTATACATACTGTTAGGCCCAGGAACGCCATCAAGTGAAGCGAAATAACAAATAAGCCAAAACAAACTTACTCTATGGTGTTCCAAGTGGTACTTTCTGAAGCTTATAGATATCGGTATACCGATCGGTAAGTTTGCGAAAAAACCAAACAATCTGTTGTGCAACGGCCGATTGTGACCGAACGCTAGGTTGTGAGCTATTTCGTGTATCGCTGCAAAAAAATATATTTATAACGCTTTATTGCAAAGTCTATGGTATACAACATATATGACACTAACGACTCACCCTCGCTTCGTTCGGGCTAATCCCTAGCTTGATTACAAATTCAAGCTTTTACCCCCATTTTCACCCCTTTAAGGTATGATTTCCGGGATAAAATGTACCTATGTACTTCCCAGGGCCTCAAACTATCTTCTTACCAAATTTCATCTAAATCAGTTCAGTAGATCCAGAGATTACCCCCTACAACGTCAGAAACTCACAAACTTTACCTCTTTATAATATTAGTATAGATAAATGCCTTCGCTGTTGTAGTTGTTAGTATTTACGGCTATAAAGAGATCCTGTAGTCAGAGGGTACAACCTTCTGACAGACAGACAGACAGACAGACAGACGGACAAACGGACAGACGGACGGACGGACCGCGGTGGCTTAGTAATAGGGTTCCGTTGGAACCCTTCGGATACGGAACTCTAACAAAAAAAGCCAATTCACACGCAAATCCATCTTAATACTCTTTCCTAATAGCATGTTATCTACAACTCCAAAGTAGCATTATGTGATAAGAACATTATCTATACGATTGTTTTCTTGATGTTTTGTTCAAGTAGCGTTTGAATTGAATTGGTTATATCAGTTATGGCGCCGCATTTTTCTTGTAACTGTTAGCATTTATTAATTACTAGCAAAACCCGCGGCTTCGGTCGCGCTAAAACTACAAAATAATCTATAAAAAGGTAGGTTTCATACAAACATTTTTCGCTATTTTACCCAGTTATGGGATGAATTTCGAAAAATGCTAAAAAGCGTATTTAATTAATTGTATTGAAGAGCATTTATACTAAGTTTCAAGTAATTCTGGCTTCAAGGTTGGTAACTTTCAAGTAACCAACCCAAGCTTCAATTTTATATATAGCTCAAGCATGTTTAAAATAAAAAAGACACAACCTTGTTGAAGATATAAACTTTTGAACGACTCCAAAATGCAGTAAGTCCTCAGTTTGGCTGAATTATTTTTATTCTTACCTACCAAGATACATACAAACACACATAATCTATACATATAATAAAATTTTGAGTCGAATCTCTACATTAAATATTTTTTGGAAAATCTTATTGAAATAGTCATTATTATCGATACAGAGGACGAATAAATAGTTTAAAAAAAATTGTCTGTCTGTCTGAGAACGCATCACAAGAATGAAGAAAACCACTAGATATAAGATAAGATATTGATGAAATTTGGTATGATTACAGATGGTTATCCGGGTCAACATATAGGATACTGTGGTCAAATATCTCATCTCTGATAAATCTATACTAAGCACGTAAAACAAAGCATAAATAGGGAATCAAACCCACTTCACTCACCTAACATAAGCGAATGATTTATAACGCCTCCGTAACAGTACGCTAGAACCAACACCACTGGCCAACTCAGATTCTGTATGAATGGTAAGACGGCGAATTGTGCCAACACCATGCCTGCCACTACCCATTTGAACATTGGGTCGAAACCGTAGAGTTTCTTGATTTCTGGATATTTCTCTGAAAAGGAAATATTATCTACATAATAATATCAATCATTTTGACGACACGTTTGGCTCAGTGTGTAGCTTTTCATCGAACAAAATATTGTTTTTCTGTAAGCCTTTTTGCTTCATTTTAAAAATACGCTAAATAAAATTTTGGAGAATAATTAAAATTATATTATTTATTTACTTTTTTGCACTTATTTGAATTAAAGTTCGAACACAGCACCATCTTGGTACACTGGTTTTGACGTGGTGTATATCATACAAAAACTGTTTTATAATACTTTAAGCACATTTATAATAAATATACTTAAACATTTTTAGAAAAAACTTGAAAAAAAAATTTAATTTCACACACACATTATCGTTTCGCACCCTGATTTTAATATAACCAGTTTTTTTTTTCTTAAGCTAGCAGCTAAAAAGCACCTATAAGATTTTGCCGACTTAAACGTTTAATTTCATTTATTAGCTGAATAAAATATTGAAAAATTGTCTATGGTACCCGGTTCCGTTCTCGTGGTAGGCAAACGGATTAACAGTCTACGCTTTTTAGTCCAAGATTTAAAGATATCTCCAATTTAAATTGCATTGAAATCCTGAAGATGGTAAGTTGTGAAGAAGTAACGTATGTATATAGGACATACACACAAATATTTACAGTCATAATATTAGTGTGGCATTATAAATATAAATATTGGGGCATTAATACACAGCACCATCTAGTTCCATGGTAAGCTACGAGGCTTGTGTTATGGATACCAGTGTAGCGGCAATTCAAACGCAATACCTCAGATCATGAGAGTCGGTAAAAATACCGTTATGCAGCCAACGCTGCACTCGGGCGCGCATCGCGTTTGATCGTGCGAGATCGTTTTTTCCCCGTCCGCTAGTCGTTTACCGATAGCTACGCCGGGAGGTCGCGCGCGCGCTCGCTCTCTCTAGTCTTCGTTGCGTAATTTCTACTTCTTCCTAAAAATCTATTCCTATAACTGGTGACCCCGACGTGATTGTGGACATTCGTGTACGTTATAAAAACTTTTATTTTGAAAATGGCTAACCCTAACGTAAAGGAAGAGGTGTGCCGTGTTGGTGTTAAGGTGCCGCCATTTTGGCCAAACGAACCGGCGTTATGGTTTGTTCAATTGGAAGGTCAGTTCGTTTTAGCTAATATAACGACTGATGCGACAAAATTCTACCATGTAATCGCCAATATAGACTATAAATACGTGTGCGAAGTTAAAGACGTCATAACGAATCCGCCGGCTGAAAATAAATATGAAAAAATAAAAACAGAGTTAATTTCGCGCTTGTCAGCATCACAAGAGCAGCGTGTAAGGCAACTACTTACTCACGAAGAGTTAGGAGATCGAAAACCATCCCAGTTTCTTCGACATTTGCGGAGCCTAGCTGGAGCTGATGTACCGGACGAATTTATACGTTCACTGTGGACGAGCCGTTTGCCTAGCCATATCCAGGCGATTATTGCAGCTCAAGTCGATCTCCCTTTAGACACAGTGGCGCAAATAGTGGACAAGATTCACGAGGTATCCCTACAACCCCAGGTAGCAGCAGCGTCGACATCAACTCCAACATCGACGGGAAATCCGATGACACTCATAGAAAAGCTTGTTCAGCGAGTCGATGACCTGTCACGGCAAGTTGCGGAGCTATCCATCAGGCCCCGCTCGCGTTCGAGAAGTCGAGCGCGTTCTCCTCGCTGGCGTCAACGGTCCCGGAGCCGCTCTAATGCTGGCCCGGGGCATTGCTGGTATCATCGACGTTTCGGCAACCAGTCAACGAAGTGCCGCTCCCCGTGTTCGTTTCATTCGGGAAACGAGACAAACAGTCAGTGAAGGCGGCAACGCGTGACTGTGATAGTGTAGCTGGTGGCCGCGTTTTCATTACAGACAGTAAGAGTAAAGTGCAATATTTAGTAGATACCGGTTCGGACCTTTGCGTGTATCCACGTAAGTATATTCGAGATAGGAAGTGTATAGAGACAGACTATAAGTTGTTTGCCGCCAATGGGTCCACAATAAATACTTTCGGTTGGGTGAACCTTTCTTTAGACTTTGGACTCAGGCGGACTTTTACGTGGCGTTTTGTCATAGCCGACGTCACTAAACCTATTATAGGCATAGACTTTTTATCACACTATAATTTACTTGTGGATGCTAGACACCATCGCTTAATAGACAATGTTACGTCATTAAGTGCTTTTGCTAAATCCGCATCAAATGTTTTGTGCCAAATAAAATCTATTACAGGTACCTTACCATTCCATGACCTGCTATCACGGTTTCCGGATCTCACTCGCCCAGCTGGAGACTTGGCTTCACGGGTGATTAAGCACAACACTCTTCACTACATACGCACGACTTCAGGACCCCCTGTACATAGTCGTCCTCGTCGGTTAGCACCGGATCGGCTTCGCATCGCCGTCAGGGAATTTGAGGATATGGTAAGAACAGGTATTGCTAGAAGGTCCGATAGCCCGTGGTCATCCCCGTTACATCTCGTACCTAAGAAAAACAATGAGTGGCGACCATGCGGCGACTACCGTGCACTCAACGCACGCACTATACCTGACCGATACCCGGTTCGCCATATCGCTGATTTTGCTCATAATTTATCTGGCTGTACAATTTTTAGTAAAATAGATTTAATCCGGGCTTATAATCAAATCCCTGTAAATCCAGCCGATGTACCCAAGACTGCCATTACGACTCCGTTCGGAATGTTTGAATTTCCATTCATGAGCTTCGGTCTACGCAACGCAGCTCAAACATTCCAGCGCTTCATGGACGAAATACTTAGAGATTTAGAGTTCTGCTACCCTTATATTGATGATATCCTTGTGGCTTCCCAGGACGAGACGCAACACCGAATTCACCTGGAACAAATTTTCCAGCGCCTACAGGACCACGGTATCGTCATCAATGCGTCGAAGTGCGTATTCGGAGAGCCACAAGTGGAATTCCTGGGTTACATCGTATCAGCAGCAGGTACCAGACCACTTCCACAAAAGGTTGAAGCTATACAGAACTTTCCTCAGCCGAAAACCATCAGGGAACTTCGAAGGTTCCTAGGTATAACAAATTTTTATCGTCGTTTTGTTCCAAGCGCAGCAAAAATCCAGGCTCCATTGCATCAACTCTTATCTGGTAAAGCTGTCAAATCTAGTACTACTATCACTTGGTCGACCGAGCTTCAGAAGGCTTTCGACGCGTGCAAGGCAAGTCTAGCTCAAGCCACTCTATTAGCACATCCGCATCCGACAGCTGAGTTAACGCTGTGGACGGACGCTTCAGACAACGCGATTGGTGCTGTATTACAACAGATGATAGACTCCGAGTGGCAGCCTCTTGCGTTCTTCTCTAAAAGGCTTAATACCGCACAACAAAAATATAGTCCGTTTGACAGAGAGCTATTAGCAATTTACGAAGGTGTGAAACATTTTCGTCATATGGTTGAAGGTAAGGATTTCACCATATATACCGACCACAAGCCTATTGTTTCGGCCTTTAGAAAAGCCTCAGAAAATTGTTCACCGCGTCAATTTAGATACTTTGATTTCGTGTCTCAGTTCACGACTAATATTAAGCACGTCGCAGGTGAAAACAACGTAGTCGCTGACGCCCTCTCACGCACCGATGAAATTTCTACCGCCATAGACTTAGATGCACTGGCCTTGTCGCAGTTGACAGACGACGAGCTACAGAAAGTATTACATAACAATAATTCTTCGCTGCTCCTCCAGGAGATAGACCTCTCTGGCTCGGGTAAGAAGCTGTACTGTGATTTTTCCTGCTCAACGCCGAGACTTTACCTGACTCCAGAGTTCCGTCGACAAGCGTTCGACTGCATTCACGGCTTGAGTCACCCCGGTATCAAGGCAACAACCAGATTGGTTACACAAAAGTACGTGTGGCCTAATATAAAGAAGGATTGCGCTGTGTGGACTCGCACCTGTCTTTCATGCCAGCGCTCGAAAGTTTCAAGACATACTCGATCCCCTGTACATACTTTTGTTCCTCCATCGAACAGATTCAGTCATGTGCACATAGACCTCATCGGACCTTTGCCCGTGTCACAAGATTATAAATACTGTCTCACAGCCGTAGACAGATTTACACGTTGGCCAGAGGTAATACCGCTCCATGACATCAAAGCTGACACAGTGGCGAACGCTTTTGTCACTGGCTGGATATCACGTTTTGGCTGTCCGGAGAAGATCACAACAGATCGAGGTAAACAGTTCGAGGCATTTTTATTTAAGGAACTTTCACGGATAATAGGTGTAAACCATTTAAAGACCACAGCGTACCACCCGGCTGCAAATGGAATGGTTGAGAGATTCCACCGCCAACTCAAGGCAGCGATTATGTGCCACGCCAAAGACGATTGGGTCGAAGTGCTTCCATTAGTACTCCTCGGAATACGTTCAGCCTGGAAAGAAGACATTAACTCATCGTCAGCCGAGCTCGTCTACGGAGAGACCCTACGTTTACCTGGTGCATTTTTCGATCTCGATAGCTCTCCCGTAGAAATAACGGACTACACCGATTTTCTTTCCCGGTTGAGGCATAACATACGGAAGTTGAAGCCCACACAAGTAGTTCACCATGGAACAGCACCCGTGTTCATCAGCAAGGATCTAAAATCTGCGCCACAGGTCTTCTTACGGCAAGATTTTATTCGAAAGCCTTTGCAAGCACCTTACGACGATTTACAGAACCAGATAGTTGATACACTACACATATATAACTTTAAATATGTACATACATATTATAAATATAAACACCCATGACTGGAGTAAAAACATTCGAGCTCGTCACACAAATGAATGCCCAGCGGGACTCGAACCCGCGACCGCTGGCACAGCAAGTAGGGTCACTACAAATTGAGCCAAACGTTATTAAACTCCAAACTCCAATAAACAATTTACATATATGTGACTAAAAAAACAAACATCCAATCATGTCTGGACTTGCATATAATTAGAAGAAT